GAAGTATTAGAGTGAGACTGGACTGGTGGTCCACTTAAATATTCTGCACCTGGTCATAAACTTATATAGTTTTGAGACATTATCCCATGAAACACCACACAATATGACCCGAGGTAGGGGATTATGAACCCCGACATGATCAGGTGCTTGTCCAGAAAGACAAGCTAAGATCTTTCATAAACAAATAATTTTAAATGCTAAAGATAAAGGTAATGTGTGGCCAAAGGTGCAGTCGGGGGCTTTAAAATGTCATCAGAACAGTGATTTAAAGAATGGACCTGAAAATAGAAGGGCAATCACAGATAGAGCTTAAACTGATTTGAATAAACAATGAAAATGTTCTATAAACAAAGAAAAACCTAAAATGAAAAAGAGAATATGTTGTGAGCAAAATAAGTTCTGAAAAACTTCTGGTCGGAAAAAAAAATATATACATGTATATATATTCAAAGCTTTGAAAATTATGAAAAAAAAAATGTGTATAAGTGTTTAAGGACAATGGGAAACAGATGTGTAACAGTTTTGATATCAATTATTTACATATATCTACATTTTAAAGTTAAACTAGGCTCTTACTTCAAAAGGTGTGTTGCCTGTAGACACATCATAATGACTATTTACATAAAATCAATCATATTCTAGAGGGAGTCTAGTCATCAAAGAATACAGTTACTCTTAATGCAATTCTTGACACAGGTAAAAACAATGTGAAAAAATAGAGTCGTTAGGAACAGAATTGGAGAGTAAATTTACTCTAAAAGTCTGGAAGACAGGCAATGTTGGACAGAAGCTAGGGTTGAAATATTTGACCATTTTGATGATGGTACAATTCTATTAAGTTGCCGATGTGCTCCCTGCTTTATTCATTATCACAGTGACATGATGCATAGTGCACACCCTTGATCAACAGTTCATGGAGCCAGGCTTCTATCAGATTCTGATTTGTCCCCCATTTCAGTTTGATCTGCAGATACAGAAAGTTTTTGTTTTATTTTATTCAGATAAATTGATGTTTGAATACCAGTAAATATTGATATTGCATCAATATGACAGTTTGTTGCCATATACAGGAAAATGTATGTATTGTGACTAAAGTCCATGCTTTTTTGGAGTTTGATAATTTGGAAAAAAGAAATTTTAACATCTACTGTATTTACTGTGTTAAAAAATTCAGTAAAATTGCAATACCTCTGATTTTTTTAATGTAATTATAAAATTCCTTAAAATGAATTTTGTCTTTTTTGGCAATTGTTACATTAAAAAAAAAAAAATAGAGGGTCTGCATAACTCAAAGGTAAACTTGCAATATTGTTTTGTACAATTGGCATTGGCATTCACTTGAGTTATGCAGTTATTTTGAATATTCTTTTTTATCGACATGCTTTGCGTTAGACACATCATGCAATCTGTCTTTTCTAATTCTTGACCTGTGACCTGTACAAAGTCCCCGGGGTAGAGTGACAGTGCAATTCTGTTATCTATTGCCTTTAATCCTATTCACTGCATGTGCATTAGAAAATCCACAGACTTTACAGTTTACTGTAATTGATTTGACCTATTTTTTTTTCTTTTTTTTAAAAAAGAAAAATTGATTCCCCTTTCAAATATTTTTTTTTTTTTGGAAGACATGACTTAACAAATTTCATTGATATACATGTATAGTAAAAATTGTGATTATTAACAGTGAAAGTGTAGTGACCTTGAGGAGGGATCTAAAAGGATGAGATATTAGTTTTACTTTTTTTCTCAGTAGAAATTGAAATCTTAAAAAAAAAGAAAAGAAAGAAAAAAAAGAAGAGTCTGCAATGTATTTAATAATACATTAAGGATAAATCTCTCAGAGTTGTCTGTATATTTACAAAGAGAGTACAGACGGCTGTAACACTAATTAGCATACGTATCACCAGTTGATTACATATTGTCAAAATAGTTAACCGTAGGTGAGTGCACATCGTGAAAATCCATGTCGGAGATTCAAAGCAGGTATCCAGGTGGCCATTATTGGTACGCAAATTTGGAGGAATTTTCCCCATTCTGAGTGACAATTTAATAGTGAGCTTGTGGGATTAGGAGTAAATTTTATGCTTTCTTTAGTAGTCCAATGTCATGGTTAACCGAGTCTAAGCTTAAACATACTAGAATATCAACTATTCCACACGTTTGAAATATGATATTGAATTTTAAAAAACCTTGTCATTTTTTAAAAGGTCTCAACTAGACAGAGGAAAATTTAAAATCCATGACTTGTGAATATTAATTGACTTGACAGTTGAATTAAATAGAATAAATGTAAAGCTAGGTAACTGAATCTTTCTTGATTCGAAAGGGGAAATATTTTGATTAGCAATATTGAATAAAAGATTTCAAAATAATGTTCATAGCAATATGCAACCTTTTAATTTTTGCTAAACGTTCCCATTCAGGAGTGTAAGAAAAATGAATACAAGAAGTTGTGATATTGAAACAGAAGGGGTTTGATGGAAGATCCTATAATTTTTTAATGTATTTGATATTTTATCTGTATTGCAGTGGGTATCGTAATTGAATTTTGCTAAGACATTTTATCATTTTAAGCTTATTTGATGAGGTGGGTATCAAAGTTTTGAGTAAATAATTCTGTTTGATATATTCCAAAGTTATGACCATTCTCTTTTAATGTAGTCTTAATGTGTCAGACTATCATAAATTTAATTGATAAGACTATTTGTCTTGAGAACTGATTACACTACCCAATGCATATGAAATTGTTTAGTAGATGCATAAATTTTCAAAATTTGACGTTCCCACTGAAGGGAGTGCCACTTGGAACACGTCCTTCCTTGTTTTTGGCGACGAAAATATCAGCCTTTACAGGAAAGGGTAAATATCGAAAGTCTTAATCTGTCAGAGGTGGCAATTTCACGTAAAAAAACATATCTTTACACCTCTTTAGATGGATAAAAAGTGCATTTCAGATTATTTACAATAGTCATAAATTTGCTCAAGCAAATACAGCTAAAAGTACCTGTAAACAGTCCTTCTTCAAATATGCACGAGAACTTTTACAATTGAGCAAATATTAGCCATGTTATTCAGGGGTCATCTGTTACCATGGAATATAGGCCTCTCGGTTATAATTCAGGTGCAGCATGTGGTCAGAATGCTACAGGACAATTTGATCCCGACACAGATAATTCACTGTTAAATCGATTGTTAAATTTCCCCTACCGATCTTATAGATTTTCTCATCATTGGTGACAATGAATTTTAACTCAGGAAACTAGATATAGAGGTACATAAATGTAACTAATGATAAACCCTGAAGATTTTCTCATCATTCAGGCAACAAAGGACATCAAATTTAGCTGCAGGATAAAAGATACATACATGTACACCATTATTAATGAGTATTCAGTAAAATGGATTTTCAAATTTGCTCTCTCCAAATTGATCCTATATAGATTTTCTCATTACTTTTAACATTTTGCTCTGAACATTATTAAAACATACAGGTTTGTGCACATATGTAGGTATTATGGAGATATATATATCTTAAGTGTTACTGTTAGTAGTTTATTGTAACACAAATGAAATATGCGAATTATGCATTTGCAGTTGGCCATTTTCTGTCTTACCAGCACAGGAGCCCGGTGTAAGGGTCAATCTTGTCGGACTAGACATTTCACAGACAGATTCAATATCTGAATTGATTATCATTCCTTTCCATGCATTTGATATGAATCTTTTATTATGGGGAATCTGAGGATGCCATTTCATTACCTTATTTGTTACAGTGACAAAGCCTTATGTCTCTTTCTTATTGAATTCCTATAGAAACCTAAAAATCAACAGGATTTATTCATCAAAGCTTTGCGAATATAAAATTAAGAAAAAAATAAAAGGGCAGTCATTTTCTGGAACCCAGACAGGAAGAGCCTTTTATGTGATTTGTTGTCTTTAACTTTCTTTTTCTGTAAAAGTAAACATTTTGTGTACTTTAAAGTGTGACAATTCGTGTTTTCTGATTCCGAATATGCCACCTTCCAAGAATGCTTTGTTGTTTCTCTGTTAAGTCCTTACACAGCTTTCACACTTTTGGACTCCAGAAATTGGCCGGCCACTTGTGTTGACACAAACATACATTAGTAATTTCAACATTGCTGGGAGTAGGGTCTTTCTAAATGCAGGTTTGATTGTCTAATCCAAAGTTTGACTTTGTTTGCACTCTTATTAAAGGTGTTTTCCATGGTCTGGTCTCAAGTCCCACCTTTTATCTCTTCTTTCCATAAGATCAGGATATTTTTCATCTAATGGGTTACTTTGTGTTTAGGTTTTCAAAAAAAGAATTCCTTGTGTACTAAAAACACAGTTTTCTAATCTTGTACACAAAATATTTTTAATATTGTTTGAATTAAAGCTTGCAAACATCTTGTCCAGGTACTTGAGGAATTGAATTGCAAACAGTTTTTAACCAAACATATTTCTGGAACCGCAGAAAAAGTTAACTCCAGACAAACGTGTTAAGCCGCCGGGTCATGTTAGGTGTCTGGACAGGATAAAGCGAGCTGTATCTGAATGACAGTCTGCCCAAACAAATACAACACATGACAAATATTGAAGTTATGTATTCTGACATATTAAAATTGTTAAAATTTCAATTAAAATAACACAGGTTGTTATTTTTGCAGTGTTACGGTTCATTAAAAATTACTTTATCTAAAAAATTATCACTAATATTAACCTCATGCTGTGAAGTGTGCATTACATGAGCATGTTTGTCAACAAAGATTTATATTAATTCATGTAAATATTCTCATAATAAACTCAAGAATAATGAAGCATATATCACTTTATGATAATGACAACCTGTCTCTTAATTAACAAAAAAGATGTTGAAAATTTTTAATTTGTATAATAAGATAATTTTGTCACATTTCCGTTGGCAAATTGAACTTCATTAAACTTTTGTTGTTGTCATGAAAATTTTGAGACTTCATTAATATATTTTCTTTTTTTTTCAGTCGTGCCATAAAAAAGAACCAGGACTTGTTGCCAGAGACTCCACTTATTAACTTGTTCTACGATGATTTCTGGGGAACCCCGCTCACCCACAGTGGATCTCACAAGTCGTACAGACCACTATGTGTTCTTTCCTTCAGACTAAATTATTACCTTGGAGAATTCAGTCCCTGGGGTTACCACCTCGGAAATATTCTACTCCATGTCATAGTTACAGCAGTTTTCACAAAATTAGCAAGAATTTTTCTGCGGGATGATTTTCCAACATTCGCTGCAGGATTGCTATTTGCGGCACATCCTGTCCACACTGAAGCCGTAGCAGGAATTGTAGGACGGGCCGATGTTGGGGCCTGTCTGTTTTTCCTCCTTTCCTTGTTATGTTATATACAGTATGTGAAATATAGAGAACATGTGACAGAGAGTGGTCCCCCCTTTTGGGGGCTGATGTACATTGTAGGTACAGCCATATTTACAACAGCGAGCATGCTCACAAAAGAACAGGGGGTCACTGTCATTGCTGTATGTGCTACATATGACTTGTTTGTTCACAACAAAGTTCAAATTGCAGACATTCTTTCATTTCGATGGGTAAGTTGATATTCAGTCTGTCTGAATCATTATTTACTGTTTATTAAATTGTATCTTCATTTTGCCTGTAGGGAAGGGAGATAACTTGATATATTGTGATGCAGTGCTTAATTGACAGTAGTAAGAGAGTGGAATGGAATAAGAAATTTCATGCTGCAGGGCAATTTAAAATTGCAATTGTCTGGCTGTTTATGTCATTTGTCACTTGAAAACAAGCATGATTGATGAAAAATTTAAAATGTAAAAAAAAGAAAAATAATCAAAATCCTGCAATGAAGAATTTAAAGGCAAGTCTAATGCTCACATTAAATAAGGAATTTCTTCATTGATTGAAGAGAATTAACTCCCAAACACAGCCTTTCACCCCATTATTTCTGCTGAAGTGCTCAAAAAACTGCACTTGGACATGTTCCCCTTGATATTAAAACTTCCCAAATGCGAGCCAAAGTTTTTTTTTAACTCCATTCTTCTATCAAGAAATGAGAACAAACTTATTGATCAAATGTCAGAAAACTTGTGATCCTTTGGATTAGAGAAGCTAGAAGCTGGGAATAAGTTGTCTAGAGCTATAGGGCAGCAAAGCCTGAAAAATTGCATTTTAAGAATTTATCCAACTTGTTTTTTGTCAAAATATTTCTATTGCCTCCATGTGTTGTGGAAGAGTAATTCTTCATAAATCCTTAGTTGCTAAACCCTTTGATGGGTATTTCCTATATATGTGGTCTTAACGAAAACCTGCATTGGCAACCTTTGTACATTTTGGACAAGATTACCTGTATGTATTACCCCCAACAAACAATATATCTATATATCAACTCAGTACCTAATTGACATCTGTAACTTTTAATTCAGGTGAGAGTAATCGGTGAAAATCCTTGATAAATTTGTTTAACTGTAAAATTAACATTCACTTTATTAGATAGTGATATCATAAAATGAGTTTAATCTTGTACAGGGCTAAAAGTGTTTGACTGATCACCTGAAATTAATGTCAGGTTTCCCGCCTGCCTTTACTTTGTAATAAAATATCCCTCCATGATAGGATTAAAGAAGATACTGGAAAAGTCACGCTGACTTACAAAAGTGATTGATAAGTGTAGAATTTCTGTTGTAATAAAACTTTGGATTGAGTATGACCCAATAGATAGACAAATTAATCAAGAGTTATGGCCCTTGAGATCTAGCTTTATATATTTACATTTCCAATGTCTTTGTCCGAGATAAAATTACAAATTGTAAAAATACTTTATTTCTACATAAATCTACTGGTTCATCGATAGGCGTGGTTAAAAAAAATCACGTGCGGGGCGGGACAAATAAAGACAGAAGCGGGGCTATTAGCACGGGAATTTGCAGAATCAGGAGCATGTAAATATAAGGAATAACTGTCAGATTTTTTGGATTCATGACGATGATCAATCGATTGGCTTGTGTGATAATTTTATGCATAAATGCCTTTGGCGTTTATGCAAATTATCACTCAAGCCACTCGATTGATCACATCATGAATCCAAAATATTAGATAGTTATTCCTTAAATAAATGCAATACAGGAGACAGAATTGCTATGCAATAGCCCCATGTGAAATGCACCACATTATTTTTATAATTTGTTTTGTTTTGTTTGTTTGTTTGTTCTTTTTTTTGGCATAATAAATTTGTTGCCTGTTTTATAAAATTCATTTATTATTTCCAATTTTACTGATTAGTGATTATATGTGTTGAAAATCAAAATTCTTTGGTAGTTTTTTCTTCTAAAGATATAATTCATAAATTTTGCTACTTTTTTTTAAAGATAAATTCTAGAGAGTTTATTATCATGGTGGTGTACGTGTTGTTAGCTACTGAGGCATGGATTTTTAAGATGTTATTGTATATTACTCCTAGATTATTGCTTAATGTAGTACCAGATTTATAAGTGGGGAGGGGGTGGAAAGATCAACAAAAAGTCTCCTAGAAAACAAATATAAGTCCTGATATACACCTTTTAATACAGTGGAAATAATGTTGTTTTAGATGATGAATTCGGCTTCAAAGATGAATAGTCAATTAGCATCCAGTTAATGAAATATTTTATAAATAGCTTTTTATTCTTTTTGGAAATATTTTAAAGCCTAGGATCCTGGCTATGTTTGGTGTGTTTCATGTAACCTGCCAAATAATAGCACAGCCCTGTTAATTGATTTTTTTTCTAGAATTGAAGATAGGGTGGCCATGTCAATATTTTGTGGACACCTTATAGCAAACTGTTACATAATTACTCTTCTCAAAATAAAAGACTAGCGAAATCTTTAGATCATTTTGTTTGAAACTTTTTCAATGATTTAAGGAATAATTTTATTTTATTATGTTCAGCAGCCAGTTTTTACCTTCATTTCTAAAGAGTTTCATATTTATTAGAAAATTCATTGTTCCAATGGCTGCTTTGCCTTTAAGCACCTTTTTTCACTGGCAAGTGTTTCGTTTTCTTCTCACTAAACCTATTTTGAACAATAAATATTTACTTAGATCTGCAAACGAGATGAGATCCAAGAGGCTAAATGAAGTGTATTTGGTTGGATATGAAATTTTGCCATTTGAAGTTTACATGGCCATGTAATTGGAAATTAATACGTAATGTTAATTTTGCTGCTCCTTTGTGCTTTTTTCGTGATGCGTAAATTTTTTTGATCAGTTGAACAAAGGTGATGACAGTGTTAGAGTTTATTTAATGACCAAAGGGTTGTGATATATTTCTCCACTTAGCAATTTTGTCACAGCTGTGTATAATTATTTTGTACTTTACTGTTGAAAATTATAAAAGTAGAACATCATTACTCGCACTGTCAGTTTTAAAATTTTCTACTCAAATACTTGTTCTATTAAGTGCTTCAAACATCAGGGGCAAGAAATATGTTAACTGTTTATAAAGGATTAAGTTGTTTATATGGCTGTGCTTTATTGGCAATCAAAATGATAAACTTGTGTCCATTACTTGTTATTTATATACACCATTCACCCTACTTTATTATGATAAAATGAATATTTATCTCGGGAAAATAGTGATGATTAGTTACAGATTTTTGTCAAATTAGCAGCTCTGTACAGAGTACAGTTATGTTTACCAGAGATAAACTTATATAAAGTTCAGTTCAGACAGATATTAAGTTTGAAGGATGATAATATTCCAAGAAATGCGATAAAACTAGATTACAAAAAAAAGATTAAAGTAAAAGTTATGTCCCTTGCTGACATTATGCATTACATGTGGACTATAGGTATACATTCTACTGAGTAAAGCCTCCCTCCTCCCCTTATTATTTCTGGATTTAAGTAGATCAAGAATATTTATTATTTTGTTTTCACTCATTGAAGCAATGCAAGTTAAAGAAATGAAAGAGTTTCATATTATGTATAAATTATTAACATTTGCTATTGGGAGCATTTTTATGTAATATATATATCACAGGTACTTGGGTCTTATGTATGTACAGGGTGTTTCGATCAGCAAACATGTCCCAGACCTGTTTACTCTTGCGATTTCGCCGTATTTTGTACGGATTTTCAGTCCAAAATACGTCTGACTCTTACGTTTTGCTATAAAGAAAATACGGAAATCCGTTCATATGGATTTTAGCAATTAGTTTTCGTTATCTGTCTCACTTTTTAATCGCTAAAGAAGAGAAAAATTTCAAACATTTAAGTTGCCAAAACGCAGTGGTTTAAAAAATGACAGAATTATTCAAAAGAGAGCAGTGTATGAAATGCTTTGTTATTAAACCATGTTTTGGTAATCAGAAAAATAGTTGTTTTCTAGTTATATATGTACAGTCGATGAAAAGTGAAATCTTACGGGCAAATGCCAAATCTCACTGACAAATCTAATGAAAAATACTGAAAGACAACAATTTGGGTAAACAGGTCTGATTTCCCGACTTTGCAGTTTTCATATATATAGAAGTTATGAAGTATTTATGAAAGGAAACTTTAAATAAAACTGGATCATTTATAAGTAAAGACAGGGATTTTTAAAATATGGACCTTATGTAGGCGGCTTTCAATTTATGTACATGTATTTTATTAAGTGTTCCAAATGACTGTTGAAGTCGCAGACAAATTTTGTTTCTTAAGTCACATATTGCTCACATTTTGACACCATTTGAAAAATCGGTTTCCCAGAAATATGCTTCTCATCTGGGTACTTCTTTCTAAAAATCCTTTTCAGTAGAATAGAGATTTCCATTTGCAAAGTACTGAGTTTAACAAAACCAATACAGAGATCTACTTTATTATCCATTAAAAAAAAAAAACCACCTGAATTTTGATGAGGTAATTAAAACTTAAAATAAACAATTACGACCTTTTATTGAATTGTGTTTATATCATAATATATTGAGGGAAAACAAACTATGAAATACAGTTGTTGTTTTGTAAATATTTTATAATTGTGCAAAATTATAGACATCCAAAGTTGGGACATGTTTGTTGCAACACCCTTTACCTTTTTTTTTTTTACATATCAATAAGGCACATGCATATTTATAAACCAAGACCCAAGTACCTGTGTAATATATCACCTTCTTTATGATGATATTGAATGTGCATTATATCATCTTGTTCATATATTCATAATGAAAAGATTATTCACTTTTGTAGTTGGGAAACAGAAAGATTAGAGAGGGAATCCTATATCTAGCTGTGATAGGAATTCTCCTGGTGGCATTCCGAATCATGTTCATGGGAAATAAACCCCCGGAGTTTGCACCCTCCGATAATCCTGCTGCAGATTCTGACTCCATAGTTACGCGATTTCTTACATACATTTTACTTCCGGTGTACAACATGTGGATCCTGTTGTGTCCACGAGTGCTCAGTTTTGATTGGTCCATGGATGCAATTCCATTGGTCGAGTCCATTGGAGATATACGCAATGTATTTTCTATTGTATTTTACGCAATTTTATTTTATGTTTCTTCAAATTTATTGACTTATTTACACAAAACCAGTCAGTTTAGTAGTCAAACATCTCCACTGGTGAAACCACATCTGAATGGTAATGGTGTGTCACATCACGGGAACCATAGCAGTCAAAAAAATAGTCATAATGGCAAACGTCATAAACATTCCCGGCGAGGATCCAACAGTTCAACAGGCAGTGAGGAGGATCCAGTGGAGGGGGGATCCACAATCTACAAGTCTCAAGACATCTTAATTATCTCATTATCTCTGATGGTATTTCCTTTCATTCCAGCAACAAATTTATTCTTCTATGTTGGATTTGTGATTGCAGAGCGAGTGCTTTATATTCCTAGTATGGGATTTTGTCTTCTAGTGGCTCATGGTGCTAATAGTTTATATAAAAAATACAAAAGTGACGAAGTGAAGAAGAAGTGCATTCTGGGAAGTGTAGGACTTCTGTTGTTAATGCTTTCTGGCAGGACGTTTCTCCGAAACAGAGTTTGGCAATCCGAGGAGAACTTGTACAGTTCTGGACTGTCTACCAACCCCGCTAAAGGTGAACATTTAACATTATACATTCATTTATGATGATAAATATTGGTGTAAGAAAATTCAAAATAGAATTTAAGGTTAAAGATAATCCAAACAGCATAAAAAATATCATGCTCAAGGAAATTTCATTGTTTATTAAAGTAAATCTGCCATATAAATTATAAAAAACAAAGGAATGGATCTGCATGCCTTTTGCAAGACCCATTGTTATAGGTCTTTTATGTAAATATTACCACCTTATTAAGCTGTCAATACAACATCAAGTTTTTGGAGTAAACAGTTCTGTAGAATTTCCTTTTTGATCAGAGGGCACATGTACCGTTCCTTGGAGAGCCATTTATCAGAGCATAGTCTATAGAGTTCTTCTGTCTTTGACAAACAATTTTATTCATATTGTTTCATATTTACCATTTTATTTTATATGGGACTTTAGTGTGTTGCATGTTATAACTACTGGAAATCATGGACATAAGGCAGGATAAACTTGAAAAGAAAAAAGACAAAATACATTTTGAATTTTCTGCAGGAAACAAAAAATAATCCAGTAAATCCCTCCTTCTGATTTTTAGTAAACATTCAGTCCCTAAATTTTTTCCTGAAGCCTGACCTTTTAAGACCTGAGTCACTGATAGAACACATGGCTATATGGATATCTAGGCTTGCAGATACTGAAATACTGAGCAGATTTTGTAGGTGTTGATAGAAAATTTTTCTTAGTGTGCTGCACTTTTAAGTTTGGCTGTAGGGTAGAATTCTTCCATTAGCTGATGATGCAGAAGAAACAGCATAAAAGTTGATTGACATTAGTTGTGATATAAAGTGACATATCTGCTGTTCTGTGTAATATAACAAATGGATTGGTTGATCAGTTATATACAGAGTGACATCTGTTGGTCTGTGTTATAACTATTCTCGTAGACAAGGTGAATCAATCTTATTGGTTGAAACTTTTAAAACTCCACAGCCATCTGGGTGTCAGACGTCAGCTCTATTAATCATGTTAATTCTTTAATATTTCATATAATCCATTTAAAATAAGGAATTTTCAGTTCTTAATCGTTGAAATACAGTCAAACCTTGTTATCTCAAACTGAGAAAAAACTTGAACTTATCTGAGGGTTCGAGATATTGAGGTTAAAATGAGTGAAGAAAAACTTAGTTGGGAAGTTGGGACTTCCAATTTACTTCTTCATATTATGGTATTCAAGATATCAATGTTTGAGATAATTAATTAAGTTCAACTTCAACCTTATTTGAAAGAGGACTTGGTATAGAGTTCAGTGGATTTGAATGCTCATTTTCTTCTTGTTACATTTTGTGTCTCATGGCCTTGACTATGGATTTCAGGTAAAGGGTTTGTCAATGTGCGCCTGGCTTCTTTATTTTGTGGGTGGGGAAAACATCTTACGAGGAAATGTTCTGGCAGTTTGATGATGGCTTAGTTGGGGGAGTGCCTGTTTGGAGTTTGTATATTGGTCTGGTCCATCATATTTTTCTCCCTTCCATTTACACATGATACAGTCATAATATATACATGTTTAATGTGCATGATATTTATTTTCCAGCTTGGGGTAACCTGGCCAATGTCTGGAATCAACAGGGAAAGAAGATGGAGGCAGAACAGGCATATAGGAATGCCCTCAAACACCGGGGCAATATGGCCGACACACACTACAATCTGTAAGAACCTCAGCTATTGCAGTGTATTATAGCAGGGTCATTCCTTAATACACAAATAATAAAATAGAGTACATATGAAATCAGTAAAAAAAAAAAAAGAAGAACTAGTAGACTAATTGTTCTCGAACAATTAGAGGTCTTTCCACCTTTAAATTTCATATATTCTTCATATTTAACTCTCTACTCTTTATTTTTATACAAAAGAAACCAGAAATGGCTTGAGAGATGGAAAAAATGAAAATTTAAAAATTTTGAAATGACCTTGACCTTTGACCTTGAACAAATATTCAAGGTCAAAGGCCAAGGGTCACATTACAATTAACCCCATGCTTCTACGACTTTTAGCTTTAAAGTTATAAGGTTTACTAGTAAGCGCAAAGACGTTAAAGGGCGATAACTCATATAAGGGGTCATCGGATACTTTCGCACTGAATAGATTGAAGTTGTGTCTAAAGACACTGAATACATTAGTGAAGGTTTCGTGTCTCTGCGGTTTACGGTTTCAGAGGAGTAGCGATAACAAGGTTTTTTGCACAAGGGGCAATAACTTTTAAAAGGGTTAAGCTAAGGGGACAAGATTGAAATCTTTGAAATAGTTTTAAAAGTACATATTAAAGATGCAAAGATGTACTGTATATGTTGAAAGACAGAAGAGCTATAAAAAGAGCTTTATTTCTCTTATTTGGAATGACCTTGACCTTTGACCTTGACATAAACTTCAAGGTCTAGGGTTAAGGAATCTAATGCAGTTAGTTTCATGTCTCTACGGCTTATCGTTTTGAAAATTTTTCATTAATTATAAACTTCAAAAACTTTCAGGGGCAATAACTCATAAAAGGGCTCAACGAATCCTTTCGTAATGAATAGATTGAAGAGTCTCCTCAATTAGTCGAAGACATTGGTGAAGGTTTCGTACCTCTATGGTTTACGGTTTCAGAGGAGTAGCGATAACAAGGTTTCTAGCAAAAGGGGCAATAACTGCGAAAGAGGTCATAGGTTATATGCGTTGGGTCAAATTTGTTCATAACTTTTTATGACCTTTACGATGAACAAAAAATCTTTTCGATAAATGTCGAAACAAAAAATCAGCGGAAGAAAAATAATAATAAGAAGAAGAAGAATAATAATAATAATAAACAGAAGAAAATCAATAGGTCTTTCCACAGAAAGGTGGAAAGACCTAAAAAGTAAATTACAGAATTGAGGGAAGTTTAAAAAGAATTTGGTATACAGTGCAATACAGTGAAGACTACTATTAAATATAGTAGCTTAAAACAGTGATAGTTTTTTTCACTTAGTCTATAAAATATGAAATGATATGACACAAATATTGAAATTTTTTGTGTTGTGTCAAGCAAGATAGGGTCGAATGATTTTACAGAGAATAATCGATCCTGTGTTAGAGAAAAGAGAAGCTATAATAAATATAAGTTCAGTAGACACACGCTGCAGAAAGGAAAAGATGTCATACTCTATATATAGATGTAATCATAACAGATATCAGGGCTCGACATTAACGCTTGTCCGCTTGTCCGGTACCAATGAAAAAAAATTACGGACAAGTGGATATTGCTGAGCACTTGTCCGATTGGACAAGTGCATTTTGATATAAAGAAGTCTCCAAATAATTAAAGAATGACTTGAAAGTTTACCGGTACTTTAGATACGGAAACAGTACATAAAAACCAAACTTTGATCCCGATATGGTTCTCCATGTAATTGAGTTCACACTCGATCGGGATCGAAGTTCACTTAATGCATACTCAAAGGCATGGAACTTACGAATTTATGTTGACAGTTTCACTTGTGACCATTGATGTTGTTGTCAGGACAGAAAGTCTAGATAAAATTTTGATTTAAGTGTTTGTTGTATTTATAAATAACATCACACGTTACAGTAATGGATTTTATTTAGTTTTCCAATTGGTCAGTTGGGGACATGAAAGGATAGAGATGACAGGATTTGTCATAGTTAGCCAGTAATCCTGACCCCCCGAGGTGTCCCCTAAATTGATATGATCATCCTTTTGTCTGGCATAAGTCAAAGTTCCCAGCCACCATACTGTACTTCTGATGGACCCATGATTGAATCTACTGAGGAGTGAAATGACTAGGAATTCTCTAACTGAGCAATGCATGCTTCAGTAAACTTCAATGAATGTTCAGCAATACCTGTTGGAAAATTGACTCAAGGAAAAAATAAATATCAACCTGTAATTAACAAGGAAAAGATCGTTGAATTTATGTAATGGTAGACAACTAAAAGAGAATTCAGCAGTCGGATTTAGTGGTCTTAACTGAGATTTCCTTTTCTTTACGTACCGTGAATTTCTGTGGTTTTTGATGTATCGCTGATTTGATAACATCATTATCAAATGTAAAACTTCTGAGAGTTAAAGTTTCATTTGTTAAGCTATAACATAGTTCACAGGCATCTGAGACCATTTGAAAAGAAGGTGTAACTAGTATTTTGTAGATTTTATTACCAAGTTCCATTGAGAGGTATCATCTTAAGGCCTCACAGTCTGCTCCTGTATGCAATATTACACAATTTAACACTAGTTCAGATTTTAATATGTAGGGCACATCTTGCATAACTTTATGATTTTGTTAAGACATATCTATGAAGATACCCCAAACTTGAAAAACCAAATCTGCATACAATGCAGCATAAATCACTACATGTAAGAAAAATCTCTATGTTGTATGACTATATTTTATCTCTGTGCAAAGGTCTCTTCATTTTCCTAATGGAATAGGCATACATTTGCAATTCTTATTAAGTTATTGACCATATTTCCATAAAATAACACTAGATCATTAGGGATCCATGAACACTATGATGCTTTGGGTGAGAAGTTGAATGGTTTGCTTTGTCGGAGTTAATCCCCTTGACGAAAGGTGCCTTTCTTCTCTGAAAAAAGGGGGGTTTAGCATTTGTATGGGAAGAAGATAGGAACCCTGCATATTCAAGTCAATCTTGACAAATAATCCACAGGAAAAATTTACACTCTATGATAGACACATTTAACAAGCTTTCTGAAAAAAGAAATATGAAACCCCTTCATGTCTTATGATATGTAATATATATACATAGTTAATACATCTTTATTATTTTGATTTGAACTTTTCCAAGAGAAAACAAAAAGACAGATGCATATTGATGATTATAAAAAAATAAAGGAAATTTATTGCAGCTGCTCTTTTCAATGTAGCATCAAAAAAGTTCTTGGATGTTGGAATCAACTGCCAAGTGGAGATATATTTACACACATGTTTGTCTTTTAAATTTTGCTCAGATTGTGAAATTTATTTACATTACAGAGGCATCTTGCTCCAGGATCAGAAGCGGATGGAAGCTGCGGTAGAAAGCTACAAGAGAGCTATTCAGTACAGACCTAAATTGTCAAGTAATGTTTTATACACAAAAAAACGGATTGAAATATGCCATCAGGCCTCATCTGACAAAAATCCGAATTCCTAGTAGTTTTCCCATGAATTTTCAAAATCTGCATTTCTTTTTATACTCGAGGATATTTTGGACATAATTGCAAATTCAATTGATATTGACTTATATTGAATATGATTTTGCCAATACAAATCTACATTGTATAAATTGGTACATAACATCATGACATAAATATTAAACAGGGTCTACAGGCATATGTGCATTTTTTAAAAAATCTTATATGTCTCAGAAAAATGAAAGGGGTAAAAAATATTTGTGTAAAAAATATTTTAGAATTGGTATTTACTGCATTTGAGTGAGAATATTGAAAAACACTGCACAGAGAAATTATCTTAAGACAGACAGATATATATTTTAATCAGTGATGACAAGTTATGATAAGTTTTTCCTGGCAGGGGAATCCAGTCACAGTTAAAAATAAATTGTGGGTAAAGAAATAAAGACAAATGGTGTCAGCTGTTAAGTGATCTGTAAGGGGAGGTAACTTTATCTCCGCTATCTCATGATTGAAGAGTTATATGTATTAGGGTAGTTAATTTATCTTAGCTATCTTGTGTTTGAAGAGTTATATGCAAGTGTTTATCTTTTATAGCTTATTCAAAAAAAGAAAAAAAAAGTTTCAAAAAAATAGACGCTGAGTTAATTTTTTAGAAATTTTTTTTTTAACTTCTAAACAATTAAGACAACAATTCAGTCAATTATAAGTAACCAGTTAACAAATGGCTACCACTTCTGCAGATATTTGTTCTCTGCATCCAAAACATTTAAAGCTGAAAAAAAAGTAAAGCTGAAAACAAAAATCCTAACAAGTTTATCATCCTGAAGAAAAGAAAATTGGTAACAATATTCGACAGCTGGCGCTTATTCAATCATTTCCAAATTGAAAAACCACTATCAATAATGAGGCCTCAGTATTGGTAAGCTCTAGGGAGTCGACCGTAAATTTTTTTGCCAGCCTCAGTCATTCCATGCAACAGTTATCAAAGCTATTGAGCAAAAAGCCATGATTTTTCTATAAATCCATAGAGTGTCGGTTCTTAATTACAAAGAATTCTAAGTTTCCGATTTGTCAGTTCAAAATGTGTCCTTGTCCTGCGGTTAAGGCAATGAAAGCTGAGCTAGCATGCTTTTTGTTGGTGTGTTTGATTAACTAGATGTAATTAATTGACATGGAGCGAATTTTCATATTTTTTTTTTCTGGCATGCTAGTTCATTGTACAAAATAGTGTGTCTTTTATATTTTTTCTTTAAAGGAAAATTTTTAATGTTTACAGTCTAGTGAATTTGCATTGAAGTATGCATTTATCAAGATAATTATATTAGAATTACGTACATGTAGGATTTAGTGTGTGAGATGAGAAGATATTTCATTACAAGTCAAGGGTGATAAACATTCTATGAAAGTGATCTACAATTGACGAAATTTCATTCACATATAGTTCCATCTAGATTCTATGGTGGTGCTTTTCTGGTCAATTTTACAATTTAATTTCAAAATAATAATTTCATGTAATGATACACAGAAGATTTGTGCTTCTGTCAAGGTAGTTAGCCATTTATGTGTAAAATTTATGTTTTTTCTTTCTTTCAGTGGCCCATCTGAATTTGGCCATTATCTATGCTGGTCAGGGAAAATATGCTGAGGCAGAAAAGGTGAACATAACACTTTTATACATCTTAAAAATTTAATATATAGATAAAAAGAAGAGTAAAAAAAATAACAATAAAATAAACTGTGTTGAAAAGAGGATGACAAAAAGTACCTGTAGTTAATCTCTAAAATGTAAACTAACTTCTGTTACCAGTTATGAAGAAAGAAATGATTAGCAGATTTCAGAGTTTCAATAAAAAAAAAAAAAATCTATGATAATGACATCTGTGGGAGAAAACAATTTTAAGTATTTAGTGAGGTTTATAAAGTACGATGGCCGATATGGGCGGGACAAAAAGTAATCACGAGTTGTGTTCGATTTGCCGGCAATTCTTAGATGCCGGCAAAAAGTAACCACGAGTTGTGTTTGATTTGCCGGCAATTCTTAGATGCTGGCAAATCTTAGATATAGGCAATTCTTATTTAAAATATTTAATTAAATTGCCAGAGGATATAGAGGTTTCAGAAGTCAAGTTATCTCAATTGGGCAAAGAGTTTGACAAAAACAAAAAACCAAAAACAACAACAAAGCAGTTTAACTCAACACGTGGCATTATTTATGACATATCAAAGCGAAGTCAAGATATTTAACTGGCTACAAGGCAGCCTCCCCGAAAATTAAAAGAAGTCTATAACGGGGGATGGGGGTGGGGACCGGGTGCTATTTCAACACTAGTCTGGGTTACGTTCACTGTCTAAACAGTTTTTCATAATCTTTCATTAGGATATGGTGGAGCCTAGATAAAAACGGACAATACAAATTCAGATATTTCCTGTACTCTCATGATCATCCTCACAAGTGTTTATGGTAGTTTGGTAGTTTATGAACCAGGCAGGTTTTTTTAAACATCTAATCAATTGACTACATGTAGCTGTGCCGTCAATCAACAGGCAGCGTGCACAGCGTTCATTATGTATTTGAGGGAACACTAGCTTTGTTATTAAAATAATTAACACAACTATTGAAGATAAAATAAAATATGTGTTGGTATGAATTTTAAAAGATACTATACTTTTTTGTGGAGTGCACGGGTCTGGAAACCCCTTAAACAATGTCTATATGCGTTTTCCCCCCTCACTTCTCTCAGTATTCTGGGTTTTTTCAAACCATTTGCCCTGTTAAGTTAACTTGACTTCTGTGACCTTGATATCCTCTGGCATATAAATTAAATATTACATATAAGAATTGCTATTGCATGTACCGAAGATTTGCCGGCATCTAAGAATTGCCGGCAAATCAAACACAACTCGTGGTTACTTTTTACCAGCATCTAAGAATTGCCGGCAAATCAAACACAACTCGTGGTTACTTTTTGCCCCGGCCCATATCGGCCATCGTAATAAAGGCTAGATGTAGAAAATATAAGTAGAAGCAGACATTTGAAGCCTTGAACCCATAGCTTTAACGAAGTCGATTCTGAATTTCTGAAATCTATTTTTAGATTTACCGCCACTGTGCTGACCTTGACACCTCTGGCCTTAAGGATCCACGTCTCCATGAGAACACGAAGATCTCAGCCCTTTATAACTTGGGCAGAATGTTAGCTGAGCAGGAGAGGAACAAGGAAGCTATAGAGGTGTACAGGGAGGCTCTAAAGAGGAGACCCAGCTACTACGCTCCTCAGTCTATTTATAACATGCTAGGTAATCATTCTCAATCTATTTATAACAGACAGAAAACCCTAGTGGTTGTGCTCATCAGTCCTCTGTTTATAATATATAATAAATGCAGGGAAATAACAGTGGTTAGAGGGGATGCAGATACTATGCTCCTCAGTCTATTTATAACATGCTAGGTAATGTACCTCAATTTATTTATAACATGAATAAATCCCAGGAATTATGCCTCTTTTTTTTCATAAATGATGTGCTAGGTATGATTTTGAAGCCTTAAAAACAAGCCTTTTTAGCTGCAATATGTCATTTAGCATCTGAGTTTATATATTCACGAAGTAATAAAAAATGGGGATGGATACATTATTGAGCTTCTATATGCCATTCATTTAATTTAACATGCCACAATATAATTGATTGCTTGTGTAGTTATTGTTTACTATAGGGATGCACGATTTTATCGGTATACCAGAGTATATCCTGATTTTTTATTGCATGATACGTATCGTGATACGGAGACTAAAATACCGGTATTTGGTACATAATTATAAATTCCAAAAATTTTTCATTTATTTCTTTAAACTATTAAATAAAAATTATAGGGAGTCTAAAAAATGTTGAAAAAAGTTAAACTATGGCATCTAAACGTGAATTATATTATAAAAATGAAAAAAGTGAAGTTATGTTTTTACAGCGTATTCGAAAGAAAAATTACAGAAATTCATTTGAAATTGTAGCAAAAATTTTGTGTAAAAATATCATGATATCATTGTGATATTTTGGGGAAAAAATCATGATATATCAAGATACAAAATTTTTGGCAATACCCATCCCTAGTTTACTATGAAATATAAATATTAGCAGATTCCTGTCACATTGTCAGCATTTCCTCACCATATTGAATATACAAGTACATGTAAGTTACTTACATGTAGAATTGGGAAAAAAACTCTACACTTTGTTTAGTTCAGTATCTCTGTTTTTATATAACTTTACAGATTTTATTGGTACTGTCTGGGTGCTGAACTATGTGAGTGCTGAACTGTATGAGTGGTTAAAAAGAAAGTTAATGCTCTGAAAAGTAGCTACACATTCTTCTGTTAATGGAGTATACAGAGTGATCAATGGTTTATCTGTAGTTTGTCTGTGACCTTGATAATTTATATTTAAGTTTAATATTAAGTTGTCAAAACATTCAATCCTTAAAAAGAAGACATTTTAATATTAAATCAAGTTCAAATTCACCCCATACAAAGAGCAGGTGCAGAAATAATGATATCTATTTTTTTACATCCCACTTATCTTATTTCATCTATTTCTAGAGTTACATATAATTGTGTAATTTGGCACAAAAAAACTGCGAAGACTTTATTTACATTAAACCATAAATATATCACTCCCTTACCCAGACCAGACATGGGTATGTTGGGTGCTGAGGGGTGCTAAGATTAGCTGTGGATTTTTATTTGGTTTTTGTATAATTCTCCATGCGATGTGAACAGGGTCAGTGATTTATGGGGGAGCGGACACCAATCAAATTCTTCATGATTCTGCAAGTGAATAAAAATTGTGCATTAATTTCTCGTTACTTTGTCATTTTAAATTCAAGTGTTCGTCCAAGTTTAAAATCCTATTACATAAGAACAGCATTGATATGTACAACGCCATAAAACTCTCAGGTATTGCTTAAAAACATATTGCATAAAAAGCACAGAAATCATTTGTAGTCATTGTTAGTATGTAAAATGATGTGTTTTTGCCTGTAGTAATTTAATTCATGCTCTTTTAATGAATGCATCCACGTGTAGAGAGAATTATATTCCAATGATGTAATGCACCAGTTCAATTAAAATGAGACTGGGTTCCTGTTTGAAATATGCATTTAATATTTATTTTACACACTCGAATGAACGACTTCAAGTGCATATGATGTGCATGGAATCTTTTATGGCCCTTTATTTGTAAGCAATTAGTAAACACTCCCCTTTTGATGAATTTTATATATTACCCATAAATAACCCACCATTACAGTGTGTTATTGAGCAGGGCATTCCTCTTTGCCAGACAAATTACTGCCCATTTTCACCTGCAAGAAATTGCTTTTTAGAAAGTACATCATGATTTATACTCTTTATATATGGCCATAATAAACTTATCAAAATTATAAATGGTTTAGAGAAACTCTACAATTAGGGAGAATTGTACATATACAAAATAAAAGCACCATAAATAAATGTTTTTTTTTAAAATGTGATATCTGATGTATTATACTTGTAATAATACTGTTTACGTCAATATTAAATTCTCCCAGTAGGTCTAAGAAGGAAGCAATCTTTAAGTTTTGACTCTTTATTGAATAATTAATATCACTGGAATTTGAATAGTTTTATTTGGTATCGGAGTTATTTTTATATTAGCACTTTTTACATGACGATCGATCTGCCATTTGATTGACAATTTGATTGGTTACTTTTAGGGACAATCTAAGATTTGATTGGTTACTTTTTAGGTGAGGTATATATGAAGATAGGTCAGATAGATGAAGCTGAGAAATGGTACAAAGAGGCCTTGAAGGCCAAGGCTGACCATGTGCCAGCCCACCTGACCATGGCCAAACTCCTCCATAAAAAGGTGACCACAGGAAATTCATGATTCTTTATACACCACACTTCCCCAAATGTTCTTCTGTTTGAAATCAAAATTTCATTTATAGTTACCAGTTGATGTTTAATTGTCTCATTTACAAAATGTTTCAGTAGAAAAAAAAACCAAAACAAAACAAACAAATAATTATGTTTTACTTTCAAGAGAAAGTTGGGGAAAAAATATGGCTCAAGTTTTTTAGAACCATAAATATGGTACATGATTGAGGTATAAAAAACTTATATATTTGTAAACATTAATCAAGCAGTAAAAGTGGGGGGGAAACAGTGATAGGAATTTGAAAATAATCTATACTTCATTCGGAACTGTGGAGAAAATGCTAAAATGTGCATACTAGTAAATTTTCTCAGCAAATTTTGTAAAAAGTTCCAAGCTGACTACATAGAAACTATTCAGAAAATAATCTTTATAAGGAATTATTTACAGAACCAGATAAAGGAAGCTGAGCAGTGGTTTAAGAAAGCCAAACAACTGGACCCTGACGATACAATGGTGGACCATCATTACGGTATCAAATTATCATTATGTTTGTCATGGAATTCAGTATTCCATAGTACATATATGTATGTAATGGAATTCAGTATTCCATAGTACTGACATGTTTGTCATGGAATTCAGTATTCCATAGTACATATATGTTTGTCATGAAATTCAGTATTCCATAGTACATATATGTATTTCATGGAATTCAGTAATCCATAGGACAGATACATGTATATTTTTCATGGAATTCAGTATTCCATTACATATAACAGATAATTAAATGTTCGTACTCTTTATAAACTTTTTATTTCAAATTATTATTAAGGATTTATTCTCAGGCATAAAATAACAATCTATAGATGAGATGTTAGAACATATTTTCTCTCTGTGTAAAATGCTTGTTGTTGTTGTGAAGGGAAGTAACTGTGTCATGATGATGATCAAGAATGCTATTTGATCTTTGTACAGCCCAGTTCCTGGGAGAAACAGGGAGGCTTAAAGAATCTTCCACCATGTACAGACAAGCCATCCAGAAGTCTCCAAACGACTTTGAACTCATCTTCAATGCAGCAAACATTCTCAGGTCAGTGAATATAGTGTCATAAAAGGAAGCATACAGATTATAGAGTTATAGAGGTATAACATGGGGCAGAAAAAAAATGAAATTATTTTAATGGACCTACTCCAGCCCAGTGTTAAAAGCCCAACACAGAGCAATTATGTCTCATATGTCAACATTTACTAAGCTGGACCAACATTGGACCAACATTGAATTTCCAACACTAAGTGGCCACGTTTCATGTCAACATGTACTTGGTTAGAGAGAAATCTACTTCATGTCCTTGTCTTTTAAGTCATTTAAATAAATCACTGAAATCATAGATAAATGCAGTATAATGGTTAACAATAAGCAATTAGCACTTATATTATGTTCATAATATTGTGTAATATCCCTCTCAATAGATGAAAGCACCCAAGACAACTGGTGACCGTTGCTTCACCCATAATATATAGACACTCATTAGCAATCTGCAGACACATTTACTTTATCTTGATTTACTTCCTTTTGTGCAGACAAGATGGTGATAATGAGGCATCTGAGAAACTCTATGAAAAGGCTGTACTGCTCAAGCCAAATGTAAGTCATCGTGGGAATTTGACACATTATGTACTAAGAGAGATAACTCCTGTTCAGAATTTCTTTTATCATGAGTTATCTTTCTTTTATTAGGTAGCAACAGCTCATATGAATTTAGGAGCCATGTATCATCTCAATGGAAAGCTTGAAAAGGCAGAGCAGAGTTATCTGGAAGCTCTAAAACTCAAACCTACTGACATAACCACACAACAGAATCTCCAAAAACTACGCAACCTAATGCAGAGTAATGGCCGACAGCGACAAACTGGCAAACGATGAGGGAGAATAAAGAGGATGTGCAGCCACAATTTGTCTAAATTTGAAAGAAATATGGATTTAGTTGTTACAGTTGTAGAAAACTCAAAAGGAACGAGATTAATATACTTATGAACAAGGAGGTTAACAAATGATTAAAAAGAAATTTTCTATGATACACTTACTAGTATTTTTTTCAGTGAAAATGAAATTTCTGTTGTTATAGCTTTGGCTTAACTTTTATACATATGCTCTAGAAATTTATGTTTAGGGAAATGTAAAAAAAAAAAGGGGGGGTGGGTGTTCAACAATTAGCATACAATGACCAAAAATAATTATCATAGCTTTACATCTAGGAGTTTTTCTATTATATCCAGCAGATTTTCCTTTGTTGTTTACACATTATGAACAATTTTTTCTTACTACAGCTTTCTTTTCATTGCAATAGTGCCTTCAAAAGCACATATCACTTCTCTACAAATTTATTTTCTACCAACATATTTAATTTTAATGTTTATGTACATATACATTTAAATTGAGAAAATATGTTAAAATTCACACAGTAATTTACTGATTCATTAAATATGAGTGTAAAATTTACCAAGGTAGTGATTAACAAACACAGTAAGAATCAGTGAGGTTTACTGATTTTTACAAGGAGGCAATAAATCCTGCTAAAGTTGAATTTTACAGTTGTTAACAACATTTGGATACTCAGATTCTCTTTTAATGCTTTATTTTTTTTTTCATGCTTTAAAGTCTGTTTGTTATTAATATACATTCTGTTGGGCAAATATTTACAAAGTCTGCATCAATTTATTGATTTCAAATGAAGCTTACATTTGAAGACTTGCTGACATCAGCAACTGAAGGCAGTCCACATATCTGTGCTTTATATATCTTTCCTTTTTCTTTCTTTTGTAATATATTTGTTTCTGAGCAATACCAAGGGAGATAATGTAGAGTACAAGGGGAGACTACTTGTATAATCATGTTCTAGTCCTGTAGGGGGTCCCAGGTGAACCAATGGCAGACCTGGAACAGTTCTCATTCATTGTTCATTGACCAATGGCATAGCTGGAACAGTTCTTATTCATTGTTAATTGACCAATGGCAGAGCTGGAACAGTTCTCATTCGTTGTTCATTGTCCATTGCTTCAAAAGCATGTGTTATTGAATGTATTTAAGTTGAATGTACTTCATTGTAAAACTTTAATGAATTATCATGATTATTTTTCATTGGGGGAGTTGTTAAGGTGTTTTCACTGTCAAGACAGTGTGTGTGTAAATGTTTATGAGCTTTGTTATTCCAAAATGCTACATGTATTTAGTGTGCAATGATATTAGCATCCATTCTACAAGTTCAAAATCCTTATAAGATCTCTAGATTAGTGAGGGGGGAATTGATAAGATTTTTTTTGCCTTGTCTAGCAATATTTTATATCATTATGCTTGAATTAGATGACATTTTATGTTTGTGATATACAATATATTTGAAGATGTTTAAAATCTAAGACAGAATTAATTAAGGTGCTTTATCTGTCTGACCTGTGAGAATGTACTGAAATCTAGCTGTCTGAATGTTCTCAACTTAGTGTACAAATTTTGAACAATCATATCAAAGGATTATAAAATCTACAGATCTCTCGATGGCCTGAGTGAGAATGTAATGTGATATATGACATTCCTTAGTAAAATACTGAAAATACTGCATGTCATGTTTTGAAAGGCGATTGTAAACAATTTAATGTAGGTTATAACTCTGTTACTTTTTCTTTTTAGAGAACTACTCATATTTTTTTCTGTTAGTATATTTTTTAATTTGTTGATGCTCTGTAATGTAATGTTATTAAAGATGCAATAAAACACTAAAATCATATCCTTATTTGTTTATAATTTTATTTGGTAGTTGTACTCATTTTGGTAAAGTGAGGATAATTGAAATCAGTCAAATTAACTTCTGGCAAAGATAGGTTAACCCATCCATTAATTAAATCCCCAAAATTAAAAATTATATATATATTTGAAGTATAATCTGGGTAAATTTATAGCAGTAATACACAACCCATTCAGGTTTCTAGTTCCAATATATCTTCATATTTCAATATTGAGCTGGAATGAAAGGTATAGTAGATGTTTGTCTTACTTACAGATGAAAAAAAACTAAATTTGTAGAGCCACCCTAAAAACATGTAGCAAAATGGAGGAAAACCCCATAGCTTTTTAAAAGTGAGAAATGAAATATGTAAAAGGATTTGAAATTATAGAAAACTAAGGTAAATCACAGGAAAATTGATTATCTCCCATTCCATTTTTACTGCTGTAGAATGCAGTTCTATTTTGCACACTTGAAAAAGTCCCTCTACACTGTTTTACATGTATAATCCCAGATATTTTTCATCACGCTCATTTAAAGTCAAAGAAAGTACATGACAAATATATTTTATCTTTCAAGCACACCATTGCATTGTATTTATTTAAAGAAATTCATCTCCCTTTCCTTAACTTAAAAAAAAGAAGAAATTAACTTATATTCAATTTGAATAGATCTCTCAAAGATAATGATTGTATTATATTTATATATTTAGAGAGGAAAATTAAAAATTCATAAAGAAGCAAGATTTATAAGGGACTATTTCTTGTGGTGGAAGGATATTTAGCAGAAATTTCTGCAAATCTACACATTTATTAAATTTAATATCTTAGAACTTTAGCCTCACATGCTTTTACTCGGAGAATATTTTTCGTTATGATATGCCTGGAATATTAAATATAGGTCTCAATTTATATTTTTATAACAAAATTTACACCTTCGCTAAACAAATTTTGCCAAGAAATGAAGATATATTAAAGAAGTCAAGATAAAATTTAAACAGTTTTTGCCAGAAAATCGCATATTTTGACCAATATTTCAAAATTTACATCACTGACCTCAACTTTTTCTTTCATTATTTTAAACTACTCGATACTTTTGACCGATCAGCACTTAAGTCGTAAAAAGTTTGATACAAGAAAACATTCTATTGCCTATTTTGATTTTTAATTCCCCAAATATGAGACTTTTTTAGTGCAAAAAGGTCACACAATAATTTACGCGCATTAATTCGCATGATTTGTTCAATGATAAATATTATTCAAACTATTTTACGTAAAATAAGATTATGTTTATTGTCATGGTTACATCTCATAAAATATGATAACGGTTAAAGTGATTAACCAAAGATTTACAATTTAAGTGCAAAAAGGTCAACTTAATTGTACTGTAGTTTAGTTAGATGCACACTGACCCCCCATTTTCTCTGCGATTTTGAGTCATACTATATGAGTACTTACCCAAAATATACTTCTCAAAAAATCCTTGATATAACAAATTTCACGAGTGACATACCTTAAAAAAAGAAGAAATTAACTTATTTCAATTTGAATAGATCTCTCAAAGATAATGATTGTATTATATTTATATATTTAGAGAGGAAAATTAAATTTTAATATGAATATATATCACTGGTGATTTAATTTGAGTTTTTATGTAAACGTATGCTTTTAAAGTAACCTAGCTGGTGTCAAATATGGAGTCTTGACGCAATTTCTTTTCGTGCAGGTGCGCGAATATGAAACATGAGGATTATGTTTATAAAGTATATACATATATATTTTCACATGTAATATTCCAGAAATATTTTTGATAACTATCTGAGCTATCATTATTATATTTACCTTGTGTTTCTGTGCTTCGTTTAGAAGTGTGATTCTTTATATTCCTCGTAGAAAGGACAATTTAAAAGAAAATGTATTTCATTTTCTACTACATTCAAATTACATTTTTCACATATTCTTTTATCTCTTTCTAGTCCGATATATATCTACCAGTTTCGATTTTATGCCTTTGAGAAGATATTCTTAACCTCGTGATGTCCCTTCTAAAGTTAAACCTATTCAGTAATATTAAATAAATTCTTCACATTGGAAGTTACTTTTAAGCTTAACATATAAGAATCCAGTTTTCCAGAATTTTTTCTTTAGTGTTACACCAAAAGCAAGTAATTTTTTTTGTAGATTTGATTATTGTCGATAAGTTGACTTGAGATAAACTCGAAGAAAAAAGTTCGCAGATATTTTTTAATATATTCAAGAATTCAAGTATACAAGAGAACCAGGAATCTCTACTGTTGCTTAGCGCTTTTGAATTGGTAAAAACACTGTATAGAAGAGAATTGTCATCAGAATTTTCTAATCTAAGCCAGTAACATTGATTTTATTATATCAATACAATATGGAGATTTTCTAAGTCTTGGGATTACCGCAAAGTTTGCACTTTTCTTATGAACACCGGTACCGATACTATTATATAAATTTACAAAACTTCAAATGCAACTTGTCAGGTTCTGAAAAATTATAAACATTACCAACTTAGATACCATTTCTGAATCGTAATGAATGAGGATTAAACATGCCCCATATTTCGCTGCCATATAACAAAGTTGGCTAAATTATATAGTCAAAAATATGTAGACAAGTTTTAAACAGAAGGATAGAATGATAAAATATCTTTAAATAAATTGAAATAAAATTTCGAACCTTTTTTGTACAAAGCATCTTTTGCTTGCGAAAAAAATACCCGATGCTGTGAAATAAGCACCAAGATATTTATAATTGGTAACATTTTCAAGCATACTATTATTCATTAAATAGAGGGTATTCAATGTTTTTACTTGAATATGGAATTTATTTCACGAGTGGGACAGGCCTTTTTGATTGCACGAGTGCAAAGCAGGAGTGAAAGAATAAAAAAAAAAATCCTGTTTCACTAATGAAACTTGTTTCGGTAATTTGATAATTTTTTATAACCCATAGTATAATAATAAAGTTATCATTATACTATGATAATAAAGTTATTATTATACCATGGTTTAAAAAAATATTACCGAAACAAGTGCCTGTGTGATTGATTGTATGTTGTTTTACATCCCGTTTGAGAATGGTATTGAAAACATATATATATGAATTTTACAACATATCTGGAGAAACTTTGGCAGTTTTAGTCTCTATCAGGATGATTTATTTACTTTATCTTAGAACAGGCTAGGGAGTACTGTTTACAACACCCCTCGTAAAGGGAAGTAAAATCGAGATTTTGCCACACTTCTGATATTCTTTTACACTGTGACAGAATACTGTATGACTTTTATTAAAAAATAAATTACAGCATTTTACTGTTGAAAATTAAATTAAAAATTATTCTTCAACAATTGTCCAGATTTATTAAAAACTAATACTTTGGTTTTATCAACATTTACACAAACACCATTTTTGACAAAAATCTTCTTATGTATTTAGCTTCTGCTGAAAGCCATTGTCTGAGGTTGATAACAGAAAAACATCAGAGCATATAGCAAACAGTGTATTTCTAAATTATAAAGTATAGCAGACAGAACTATGAGAGGCTGTTTTGTTATTTACTGCCATTAAGTGTTATCACTTATTCAATTAGTGATATCATCTTTTCGAATTGGTGATATCACCTGTTCAGCTTTTGAATTGGTGATATCACCTATTCGAATAGGCGATATCACTAAATGGCAATAAATATGAAAACGGTGTCTCATACAGAATATTAAGTGCAGACAACATACTTGGTAGATCATTGATAAATATTTTGGACAAATCTGGGCTCAAATTATCCCTTGTCTTACACCCAGTTGAGTATAGAAAGGTTTTATTAAATAATTTCCTACTTGAATGTGTGACCTGCTTTTTGAATACATAGTTTTTAATTAACTTGTAAAAATTACTCCCAACCTTGTAGAAGTTTTAATTTTACACCATCATGTAAGACAGTGTCAATGCTTTACGGAAATAGACGAAATATGTAAATAGCTTTCCTCCTTGATAATAATATTTCTCATTAAGAGATTTCAGAATAAACATGTGATCGAATGTTCTACATGCTTTAGTAATCCGAGATTCCGCTGACTCTAACCCCTGCTTTTATTTTGTGACATGTGCAGGGTAGATGTCACATACATAAAAGCAGGGCCGGGGTTAGAGTCAGAGGAATCTTGGATTCATGCTTTATAGATGCAACAAAAGTACATAGTGGAATATTCAGTGTTTCAGAATTATCATCAGGATTTATAATCTCTAGATAATACACATCAATGGGCCTTCTGTTTTTCAAAGGCACTCAATGTGAATACCAGCAGACAAAGTAAAAGGGAGGTAATTCATGCATACATCTTTACAAGTTAGGAGGAATTGTCTTTTGATAAACGATTAATATTTAATTATAAAAAAAATTATAAAAAGAACTTTTTATGCAACATTTTAATTAAAAAATTCTCAAAAATTTCTGGGAATAGCTAAACATTATAATTGTACTGAGAAAGAAATTGATATATGTAAGGAACTTTCCTTTAAAATCACATGCTATCATCAATCATTGACATAGGTAACGTATTATTTTATTGAATGGAAATTTCAAGGGATTGCTTTTTCCCTGGACTAATTATAGAATCCTTTTAAAAGTTGTAATTTTGCCTTTAGATACTCATGTAATGTATGATGAAATATCAGTTTTTACAATCAGTTATACAAGAATTATATAAAATATGCATGTATGAATATCAGAGAAATTAAATTTGAATAAAGTCGTAGAGTTGAGAATTTTTAATTATTTTTAGCCATAAATCAGTTAACCCACTACATGGCAGCTGAAATAAAAAAGAAATAAATGACGAAGGTTCTGTTGATAAATCATAGAGTCATTTTGCAGATAGTCGGCGTAACATAACTACGTATCTCATGCACTGCATATTTCAACGTGTCTCGTTAAAATTCTCAAGAATGTTGCTTTTAAAATTGACATTCTTAAGAAACATTAATTTTTTTTTTAAAGAGAATAACCTGGGAAGAAATAAAAAGAAAACACAAGTATAGAGGATGAGCCATAATTTTCATATACCTAATGATCAATGTCAAAGGATGTGAGAGAAACAAACGCTAGATTCCTTTTTCTAACCTATAAGGATTTTTTTTTATACAGATTAAAATATCATCACCTTCAACTTTCTGGTCATCACTGAAGTCCAATGTCCTCTTTAGATTTAATTAATACAGCTTGCAGCAGAACATACCACGTTGTGTACGATACAGAGACGAATACAAACATCACTGATTAAGTGCAAGGAGGTCAAATGTCTAGTCAAGTGTTTATCATGGTAACATCCTCTGGCGAGGTTTCATGCACACTCTGAAGGAGTACTGTCTAGGTGAATTCTGAATAGATCATTACATTTTTTTTTTGTTTTCTTTGGGCAATTTTATGTTAGAGAAACCTAAAGGATACATATTCATCCACGTATATATATGAAAGTGAGGTCTCTCACTCATAGTGATGGATGGATATCTCCTAATCCTGGATTTCCAACAGCGACCCACGTTAGATGGAATATATAGAACATTTTCGAGATAAAAAACGAACCGATAACACCTAAAGTTAATATTGAATTTTATTCAACCAAATACATTGCATATACATGAAGTTACTTCTTATTTGACACACGAGAATGGACGAGATTCTATCACGAGATTGCATTATTACAAGAAATCTTGCTCTATCAGTAAAACGAAAACTTTGGGAAGGTTGAAGAAATAGCACTGTTCGTTATAACTACTAGCCTCGTTTTCACTTAAATGTCTGACACGACTCCACGGCGCGAGCTGTACTCGACCTCGTCATTTGCGTCATTATGACGTCTTACAGAAGACGGTGAACCCGTAATTTTGACCCCTCTGACTTCTTCATACGACAATGGAGGAATACCGTTCACTTCATAAACTGGAGGAGGCACTCCGATAGTGTAGATTCCCTCAAACAACTTTGGTTTTTCGGGTTCTTTTTCAACATAAATTTTCTTCTTGATTCTTCGTCGGCAACATACACAGAGAATGGCCAGTAGAAGAAGGAAGATGGCAGCAACGCCGATGGCTGTACCAATAAGGATAGGAAGATAATACTCATGTGTAATGTCGTCATGAGTGTGCTGTATATGAGGATGAGCATGCCCATGTCGATCTACGTTGTTCTCGATCATCTTAGTGAGTTCCACCATGACACTTTCGTCTTTCTTCGCCTCATTGATGGCTTGTTTTATCTCAGGTTTGATTTCCTTCTTTATTTCAGTTGCAATGTCTTGTTTGTCTTCTATTACAGGATCGGGCTTGATTTGATCTGAGAATAAAAGAAACATCCAACGTTACAGTGCCCAAAAGTGTATCATACTTAAGATGAACCATCTGCAAGATTTGTTAGACCAAAGCTATCTCTGTAGCAATGAGCTTTTCTTTAACTGACCTGAAGGTCCAAGGAATTGGATTCCGTCTGTTGAGGGTTCTGTGGCTGGTTCCACCTGAACTGTGTTCTCTTGGAGTGGGGTGTCCAGTGGAGTGTCCAATGGAAGGTGTTCGTGATCATGTGGATGATCGTGTGAATGATCGTGTGGATGATCATGTGGATGACTGTGGACTACGTCACCGTGCATATGTATGTTGTCCTGTGGAAGCTGTGTCGGTGGTGGAGTGATATCGTCTCCAGCTGTCATACGGTGCTCAATACCTCTAACTACAGATACAAACGTAAACATGTAATTAAAAGCTCAGATTGAACGCAAATATACCTAAAATTTCACATTCTGTATTCCGTTTCCTCAAGTCGAATTTAAAGACTACCACAATGAAATTAAATATTCTAACTGCATCTTCATATATTAATTTCAAATTCCATCTCTAAGAAAAATATTAATTTCAAATTCTATATCTTAGAAAAACTGTTTCTTTGATGTCTGTTCCTTTTTAGAATGAATATGTAAAACCTACTATTGTCGATACGACAGATCCTGTCAATTTCAGAGAGTGTGTTGACCATTGTGGTTCGGATTAACATGTGTTCCTGGAGGGTGGAACATGGGTGAACAGAACGTTTTATACAATCAGCAATAGCAATCTTCTCCCTTGAAAACAAGAACGAGTTAAAAGTTTAAACATTTAAAACCTATATTTTCTCAGTCTAGTATGATCGTAGTTGAGAGTTTTTAGTATTTCGATCGGTATATCGGGCCCTTTGTCAATATTAAGTGAGCTAAATAGCGTTGACCATTTAAATTTACGGACTTTGTTGAGCAGGTGTTTGCTGAGAGCACATGTACTTACTGACAGACGCCCCTGTAGTTATAGTCTCCATTAAGAATGCCATGATCTGGAGGCATTTCAACACCCGACTCCTTGAAACAAGATTGAACAACGTCAAGGTAGGCAGCGAAACAGGGAGGAGGTGCGGGAAAACCTATAGGAAAGAGAGACAGTGGGTGTTTTACATAAACACTGTGTGAAATGAAAAATGTGATTGAAAAAAATTATGAATAACTTACAGATGGAATATAAGCAAGAATCTTTAAACAATTTAGAAGAAAAAAAGAATGATATTGCTAACTTCAAAAATAACTTCGAATGAAGACTTTGGTAGGAATTACAATGCAAGTGTGTGTTTTTTTTTTAAATACTAGTACTTACCAATGTTGGGTCCTGGTTGTACCTGAACTGGTGGCATCTGCACTGGAACCCTTGGGAGGAACACCCTGTCTTGACCCATACGCTGGAGAAGCTGAGACATGGGATGGGGTGGGATCCGTGGAAATTGTGAGTGATGTTGCGACATGTGTCTGTTCATTGGAACATTTCCTGGCATCATCTGGAAGCGTCGATCTGGTGCGCGAGGAATTTGAGGCATTTGTCGCTGTTCCATTGGTGGACGTTGAGGGATTTGTGGGAAAGGGTTGGGCATGTTGAGATGGACACGTGTGGACTGTCTGACAGGGGAGAATTGTGGGGTTGACTGTCGTGGAACCTGTACAAAGGTCTTTTTCTGTGAGATAATGAGTTGTGGTTTTTGTTGTTGTGGCTTTGGAATTCTGGGTACCTGTTGGGCAGTCTGTTGTCGGATGGGTACTTGTGATATCTTGGTCTGTTGGGATGGAGACATACCTTTTCGGGCAGGGATGAAAGACTTGCTCACTGTTATAAATTTTCTTACGGTAGGGAAAAGTTTTCCCACTGGAGATTGAGGAACTGGGGGGACGGTAGATATAGATTGTTCGCGTTCCTTCATCTTTCTTTCAATCATTTCAATCAACCTTAATCTCTGCTCCATCATCCTTTGGATTCTGCGCATTGCCATATTGTTTGGTGTCCACCTGTCTGCAGGAGGCTGTGTCCGCATCATTGGACCATATCTATGGTTGTCGTAAGATGCTGGGTATTTAGGTAGAGAGTTAAGGTTCTTTGGTTTATCTTCTTTAACAGGTGCGCTCAACCTTGGCATCTTTGACTCTCGGCCTCTGTCGTCTACTTCTGAAAAAGAGAGACGGAAGAAGTTAAAAAAAAATTATTTTGTATATGTATTAGCTATTGCAAGTATTATCATATATCATCTAAGTAATTTTGCTAGGTATAGAATTATCTTCTCCGAATTTAACAAGATTTCACGATACCACATTGCTTGCCGTAAGCACTAGGTAAAAAATGTGTTTAATAATCTCTGAATCGCATAAACAAATGTTCTTGATTTAGGTAAAAAGGAGAGGCTTTGAGGGCCATGTCAAATCTTGGAAACAGTCTGTCTTCGAGATGTAAAGAAATATCTTTTTAAAATGGTATATTCTAATATGAAATTAACTTAATTCCTCCCCTAACATTGTCTGCTTCTAGGGATCACGAGTTTCATGATTTTGGAAGAGATAAAACTATTCGGCATAATTATGTGTCCTAGAATAAAGCAGAAATTCAAAGACATAATGCATTTGCAATATATAAATGTATATGATAAACTGTTAAGATTGAACCCTAGACCCAAATTATTGAATATCTTAATCTTTATAGAAAAGTTGCAAATGTACAAACGTTTACACCAGACTGACAACACATGACAACAGAAAAAGCCAGTTATTATATGATTGAACAATTCCTAGCTCTCTGATTAGCTAATATCCAACGATGTAAAAAAAAAAAAAACAACCTATGTTCACCTGCAGGTGACCTTCCAGGTGAACATAAGGGATTTTTTTCTTCATTGGACTAAAAAATATAGATCGGGAAATTCCAAATTGATACAAATAGTTCTGTAAAGTTATTTCACTTGCACCCGACTTCCACTCAGGTGAAAAATACATGTAACATTCAGGCACATAGAATCGGTGATGAGGGTTGGAGGATGGGGGGAGGCAGGGGGCCTGTCCCATCCCCACACTTTTTTCTGAACGTAAATTTCATTGAAAGGCTGGTTGACCCCTCCACATTAAGGACCCCAATACCCCCCTATCGTCCACTTTTGGGGGGAGGAATGGGCTATATAGTCAAAGAATTTTTCAGGCCTGTTTTCATTTTTTTTCTTATAATCCACCCCTTTTTTTCAAAATCGATCCTGCATGTCTGACATTTACTTATTCTACATGGCACCTAAAACAGATGACAAAAATTCAAAATAAATACAATTGGTTATGTTTGTTTTAACCCCGTTTCTCTCATTATGTTTGGCTGGGACTTGAGCAATGTAAACAATAAGATGGCATGAATTGCTTAATGAGTTTGTATCACTTAGTCATTGATTTACAAAATAATCATAAAACAATTATTGCTGTTTTTTGTCAGTCAATACGATGATTTAGCCACCTGGGGACTACAATATTCACCGAGCCCTTCGTTAAATATTTGTAAAATCCCCGACAATCTAATTTTTAGGATATATTGTATGATATCAGTACATGTATGCCCTAAAAATTAGGTTGTCGGGGGTTTAACGAAGCATAACAATTTCTACTAAATTAAAACTAAAAGAAGAATTATTTTGAATCAAAAAAAAAATCGCGGTAAAAAGTCGCAGCAAGAAACTAGAAAACTGTTACATGCTTTGAAATACCATGCAATATAAAGGCACTTTGTAACCTTTACCAAAACATCTTCTTTTCCTTGTGATCATTTGAAATTGGCGACTGCAGATTAATGGCCTGTCAAATGTGGTCATGGCTTCTTACGTATTGCATTGTGACTGCTTCTGCTATGTGACAGGTTTTGGTTTTGGATATTTGTAAAGCTTCACTGAATACAAAATGATCAGATAAACACATTTCAGTGAACCCCCAACTGAATGGAAGAAATATCTTTATATCTTTTTATTCATTACTCTCCTTTAAGGACAAACGCAAAGTAGTTTGAACTTTATTGTCTTCTTCCCTGGAGTTGAAGAGTTCCATTACTTAAAGGAATTGTGTGCTACATTTCTATGTCTATATATGCTGTTGTACACTTCTTCTAAAACAAGTTTGGATAAACAAAACATCTAGAATATATGTTTAGTAATTTTTGTGTATTTTTCTTCAATACAAGAATTTTCATCAATTGATATCTTTTCAAACCCCCTGGTAATGCAAGCTGATTTTTTGTCGACGAAAATCTGATGGCACTAAAATCTTAGATTAAGAATATCTTGAAAAATTATCATTAGGTAAGGTACGTTGGGTATGTCCTTAAAACCGGATTGTCAACTGAAAATTTTTCACGAAAGGTTCTGGCACAGTACGGATCTTTTATATTTAAGACGTTTTCACTTGGTTCGTGTTCACCCCTAAGCATATTGAAACATATTTGCTAATAGATGGATGTAAACATTGCAGGCTTTTGTTGCAATGTAGGAAATGCCTAGTGATGAATTGCATTCGTACGACCAAAAATGTTGATGGAATAACTTAAGGGCATCAGGATTTGGTCAGCAACGTAATGAAGTCTAACATCAACTTTCAGATTAAATAAATGTTTATTTTAATTTAGATGAAGTTTACATTCATCAATGGTCTTAAAATGATCTCAAAATAAGTCTAAAAAAGGTTAAATAATTATAGCCTGACGTTTATATATTACTGTCGTGTCACTTGAATGTTAGACCAAACTAAGAAAATAAGAATGGATATAACATGTTTATATTTTAGGAGACCACATCGTTCATCATTACTAAAACGGTAACTGTGTCATTATGTTTTTCAGTATTTTAACCATTTATTAATTATACCAAATAAGTAGGAAAGAGGTCATGTTTCTCTTTCTGTCATTTTGTCCGCAAAACATCTCACAAGTAGTGAGTAGATATCAGAAATATTAAACAGTTAAAATAGCGAGTAGATTTCAATAATATTAAAGGTAGTGAGTAGATTTCAGTAATATTAAAGGTAGTGAGTAGATATCAGAAATATTAAACAGTTAAAATAGCGAGTAGATTTCAATAATATTAAAGGTAGTGAGTAGATTTCAGTAATATTACAGGTAAAGTAGAGGCGTGTGAGCAAGAAGATGCAGCCAATTGGTTTCCTGACATAAAAGCTAGAACCTCCCTTTTTTAACAAGTACATGTAACAACTGCTGGAGATTTCAGAAAGATACAAATATGGTTTCAAATAATATTAGTGAAAATGCGTGTTTATTTGGGGCATAAGATTAACACGGGGTCTCTGTCAAAGAAACAAATGTAAGATTTTTTTGGTTGCTTCTGTAAATATTGTATATATCAATAGGGTACACAACAATATTGCCAAGAAACGGTAACTCTAAAATGTACACTTAGATATCCATACTGAAGTTAAAGGAGAATGCGTTATCCGAGTATCTCGTGGTCCATTTTCTGAAAGTTTGATTGCAGTCGATTGTAACTCAGATGAAATAATCCAGCCTACCAAATACGTGTTTAAAAATAATGATTTTATTGAATAGTTAAGGATCTAATTCTAGTCTAATTATTTTACTTAAGTTTGAATATTCATTTCGAGTTCTTTTGAATATTCATGAGATAAAATTGATATACATGTATACTCACTCATTGTACAGCGTCCCTGCTGGTCAGAGTACCACCCCGGACAACAAATGGACATCCGGAGGTACTTGGTGCTGGGAATAGTGGTGTAGCCCCTACATACCATACCTAGTGAACTGTAAGATATAAATAAATCAACAATTAACATATTAAGTCATTAACAGTAAAATATGCATGAGATTGGCATGTGACAAACACAATGAGATATATTAACATCTGCGCAGAACACCTAGTAATTAAGATTTTGTCTTACACTTTAACCTTAAGATATTGGGTGCTGTATACATGTGTCACGTGACCAGTTTATAGGTGTGGGTCTATAAGATAAAACCTTTTTTTTTTAAATCGATATGAAGAAAAATGCTTTACTTAAATAATAAAAATAAAAACTTGATTAACGACATTGTGTCAACATAAAGAACATTATTTGATGAGTGAACCATTCATATTAAATTTTAGAAAAAAAGGTTGAAATAATTCACAGAACTAAATTTCATTTTTCTTGATGTTACAGTGCTTCAAATTTTGAAGACGTCAAAGGGAGAATTGCAAGACTTTGATATACAAATCAATGTCTTTAAGGTAAAATGCTTATATATGCTGCCAAGTATGGAAAGTATGAAATATTCTATTTGTGGATAAAATAGTAAAGATACACTAAACATCTGTGCACGACATGAATTTTATCTCCTTCATATTCATCTAAGCCGATTTGATATTAATTGGAAATGTGACTCTAGGAAGTATTAATAACCTACGATAATACCTGTCACAGATCAATGACTTACTGAGGTAAACCTCCAAGAAAAAAGTGACTAATCCTTCAGAAGAGCTTTACCCCTTACAGACATTAGGAGATATTAGTCATTGGTTTACAGACCATTTCAAGGCTATTGCAATGATATATGAAGACCCCATACGAGCATATAGAGGCAATTAATGCCATAATTTGTTGTAAACAGCATAATTGCATAAAACAGTTGTGATAAAAACATATATCTACCGATGCCATTCAACAGAGAATAACAATTACCGCATGCACTTGTACCTATTTTTTCCCCAGTTTTTTACCCCCAGAAAATAATAGCCCTATTTTTACCTTTGATGGGCTGAGACAGGGGTAACTCCTCTGATGGGTCGAAAGCATGGATAAATGACCATCTCTTTCTCCAGAAAGGTCCTCCTGACGATTACCATACATTTCTGTTCCTCTGTCCCCGGCCGAGGGGCAGACTGGGCGGTGTTTGTGGGGGCTTGGTGACTATAACAAAGAACACATGAGCAATGAAAGAAAACAGCATGTGAAAGAAAAGAAGCTCATTACAAAAAGGAATAGAAAAAGATTAATATCTGTTGCAACACAGCACAAATGACTGCCGATGATATTTAGACCTTGACAAGAAAGAACATAGACTACTAATGTCTATTGTCATAGACGAAGCAGGACATATATCTGTATTTTTAATCTGCAAACAAAACACTTCCAACAGAATTATTGAGATTGGAACCTACTGTCATCTGTCCCGCTTTCTGTTTTAAATATTTCCATTAAATATTTGACAATTTGAGCGACATTCTGATCAGTTCAGTTTAACATGTGTAGTCATCAAATAAATTCTACGAACAAATGGCAGATCGATGACATATCACCTCTACACATACAACTGAATACACAGGGAAATGACAGACAGCTAAAGTGATTTATGATCATTTTGAGTTTTTGAGAACCATTTATGGAAGGAGAAAGTTGGTCTTAAGTATGCATTAGAAAAAGAGAAATTTAATATGTTTAAAACACACATAAATAAAATATAAATTTCATAATGCACTTCATGAACAAAATATTCTTAGTTAAATTAGTACTGCATGTAAAAAATGTTTGAAAAAAAATAAATGAAAGATGAAAGAGTTGGCATTCTATGATAACAATACTTGTTTCATGTATTGCCACTCTTTACACTATTGTGCATGAGTCCATGTTGATGAGAAGAAAGGTAAAATGAAATTAAGGGGAAGAATGGAAGGCTAGAGTATCAATATGACGAAAAACGTGAATTTGAACACGGTGTAAGAGTTATCTTTCTTTTATAAATCCACAGATTAAAAGAGGGTACTGTTGATATCGGACTACATCATAAAGTAACATAAAAAATGATATACACTAACATGTACAATGTTCATCAAAAATTGCCTAAAGACTTGCATGTATTATACAATTGTATAAAACTTAATTCTTGTAAAATCAATAAAGTTTTTTTTATGAAGGATTTGTTCCTAAAACAATGTGATAAATATAAAATAAGATTCAAAAATTTTCCTAGTTTTGTATAAAAGAAAAGCAAATAACATATTACACACTATAGACTGATGTTAAATAAGATCTCATTGTTCTACTAAGTGACAGTTTATGTACAGAGACAGCGTAATACAGTTATAAAGCTAGCGGAGAAATTCATTAGACAGACGTGTTAGGCCCCCGAAGGTAAGGATTCTAACGGCTGTACTTTGTTTTTATTGTTGACACCAGTGATAATGTTGTCAACGTATCATGTTAAAACACACTCTTCCGCTTTCTTTTATATTGTTTTATTTGATTTTGATTATTTATTTCATTCTTAATCATTGAAATTGAAATCTTTTAAAATCTTTTAAAATCTTGAAATAAAATCTCTTGAGTTCTAAGCTGTTTTAACACATTTCTAATAATGATGATATTTTAGTTAAAATACTGTTACATACTATAACTGAATTGTCTACAGATTTTTTCATTTACCCGATCGTGACAAGGAACACACGGCGGGCGTGACCAGTCGACAGGAGATGTTACTCCTCCATGGCACCTATCTCTAATGATTTTACAGGTCTGTGTAATTTGTGCTGTGTTCTCAATTTGTTTTGTTCCAATTGATTTTATAGCTTGATAACTGTACATTACCTTCATATTTCATACAGGTCGATTTGAATAATATTCTGATAATTTGATTCAAAGTTAATTACTTTTTTTTTGTCTTTTTCCTTATTATCATACGTGAATTTAAAGACAATGGAGTAAATATTTTTTTTCCATTGTATTCATTATAACATCAAGAAAAAAAAATCTCTGGATCTCTTTTACAATGTAAATACATAAAATAATCTTCTTCTTTCATCATTTCATTTCATATGATCATCATTTGAATTTCTGAGAAAAATGATTGTCATTAAAATGGATATTACAGCAAACCAAAAAAATTACACAAAATTCTCATTCAGTACAATCCCTTCTGATCATATGACATCCTGTCAGAAACTGCTCATTTGAAAAAGAAAGGTTAGAATGCTGCTACACAAATTAATGCTATAAGCTCCCGTGAATTCTGATTTGCATAGTAATTACAGTAATTATTGGTGCATTAGCAGTTACTGGGGCAGTTTAAAGCTTCTCTGTTACAAAAAGGGTAGATCAGAAGAATTCTAAACAAACTTCAAAATTTTATGATGCTATCTTCATCTATATCATTATAACCGTGTAATTTGTACTGTATCTAATAAACAGAAGACTAATATGTAAGACAAGTTTTATGGTAATTCAGACTTGTAGAGGATATATACTTCGTCACGAATAAATATCTTTCAGTCAAGTCTTGTTTGCACAAATATATAAAAGTGCTTAGAAAGCTATATTTTTCATATTATGGACATACACTCCAGTTTTTTTATTGACAATCATGCAAAGTTCATTATAGCCGCAGACATGCTGTATGGAACCATTGCGAGGGTGGGCACATCAGTGGACATTTGACATCTTACTTTGCCATCGCTGTAATAGGGTTATAAATGAACATTATATGTACATAAGATTTGCACTAAGAGTGTGTGTTGTTATATTTGAAGAGAAAAGTTTATTGTTGAGCACTATATGCATTACATTGATGGCCACAGCAAAGAGCCCCCCTGGCAAAGAACATGACTCTAACAACACAGCATGTTTTGTAAGGTCTTACAGATCGTTAACAGCGTGCTTACATGTTAAATGTAAGGCCCTCGTTAACAGTTGTTTTAGTACAAACAAGTTCACTAACACAATGTATTCGGTCTTGTATTAACAGCAAACATGAACATAAGAAAATGTTGTTTTTTTTTAACTTAAATCTTTAAATGATTTTCACCAGTTATTGAGAGACACTGAAATATATAATAGAAACAAATAGTTATAATAGAAAGAAAACTTGAACGCAAAATGAATATGCAGAAGTAGTAAAATTACAACTTTTCAGAAAACATTTAGAAAATAGACAAAGACTTTGACCTTCTTTATCATATCCCTGAAGCAAGCTTCCCCTAACCCCAAAGCCATTTGTACCAGCGTGTAAACACAAGTCAATATTATTGATGTTTTTATTGTTTACATATTATGATCGTAGCGTGAACATTTCAAAGTGTTTCCGAAATCATAAATAACACAAAATGTAAGGCACTCAACACACCACCTTGTACTACTTCAACAAAATAATAAAACTACAGCATGTCGATAGATCAATATATGACACAAACATGAACTTTTGTTTACATCCTTTCCTAAAGGTAAAGGACTAATTAGTCAATCAGCACGAAAAGTAATATAGATGATAGTAATTGCTTCATGATGAATGATTTCAAGCTTGAATTTCAGAATAAAGCACATTCAATTTTCGTATCTGGCTTCTAACTATAAATCTAAAATGATTTAATGAATGTATTCAGCATTCATAGGTGATAAATGAATGATTTAGAAGGAAATCATGAAAAATAACCGATATTAGTAAATGTATGTCAATTTCATTTAAAAATGCACTTATCGGTGAACCAAAACATGATTTCAAAACTGTATTAACATAAAATACCACGCCCGAATAATCAAGGTTTATAATAAATTAAAAAATGGATAACTCTTTATAAGTAGTATATAATTTAAGAATACATTTATCAGCACATTTTACAACGGTACTTTAATTTTGATAGTTATAATTCAAGAGGAAAACAATAGTCTAAGGACATCTGCGCAAAGCACACGAACACACGTGATTAAATGTCTATTTTTGAAATGAAATAATTTATTTTAATCTTCAAAATTCAAAAGTTCCCAACTTACATATGGCCTTGATGAGCAGAAGAATCCAAAACTAAAATTCCAAAGAAAATTAGAACTTGGACAGACATAACAGCCCGTGCTAACTCCATCTTCAACGTCCCATGAGCTATGTATATTCCTTAAATATGAAGTTCTCTTCTCTTCACAGCGATCACTCCGAATATGATAAGTAAGTTCTACCTAAAGCGCCGTGGGCAATGGTTGATGGCAAACATTCATCAAACAAAGACAAGCCAAAACAGTGCGTTGTCAAAAAGAAAAGGGCAAGGGGAAAAGTGTAAGATAGAAAAACTTCAGTATGCACGTGCATGGCATGCAAAGTGGTTACGTCAAAGTGGAATTGTTTCCGACATGGAAGTTTTATACGTTTATTTTTGTACGAGTGGACATTGCTATTGATAACATGCATGTAATATGTTATTAATAACTATTTCATTATCAGTCAAATATACTACTTTCTTACCATAAAGAGGGCAGAGTTTATGCCCTAAGATACGTTTTTGTAAAACCTAACTCAATGACCAGTCAAACAAATCAGTATTAATTCGGTTTTTATTTTAGTATCAAATACTGGTATTTCATTCCTTCTATTTTTGAATAGTGCTGTCATTTTAATTTATTATTGAATACTTATTTCCATACTTTTCAAACTAAATTTTGTTATCGAATGTTGATGACTTCAAATAAAATTCCAGGATTGACAACGTCATTCACCTTGAGTCTAATCAATTCAACAGCAAATTATCATAAGTGATACATGTTTAATTATATAAAAAAAAGCCCGAATATCAACCTGAGCATAACGAGTACGTCTATGCTTTACTGAACAACAATAACTTTCGCAGATCTATGATAGGCAATTAGGGATCGATGTAAGAAATATTTCCCGTAGAAAATATAGTCCAAGACATACGTTCCAAACGCTATGAGGACGTCATCAATGACATTGAGTATTTTCAAGAATGTCAGTTCTGACAGTATGACATGATACAATTTACCACAAATATAAAGAGCTTAATTAACACTACTTACTGCTGAATAAAGAAAAAAGTTATAAAAATAAGAATTTTTTGTAGAAACATAAAATATCTTGTGATCATTCTTCAATCACAGATGTTAAACAAACAAACGAACAAACACGGATGTAATTT